ACAATTATAATATTGTTTGCATCTAATTGTCTACATTATAATAATATATTAATCATAAATATGTACAACTGAATTTATATAAATATAATTTCATAATTATGGCAGTCTAATATATGTATGTGTGTGTGTGTATATGTGTGTATACCATATAGTTTGTTTACATTTCTGTCTAATCAAAATAAAATTTTAACAACTGGCATCCTCTGTTCCCTTTTTCTCCTATATAGGATATGGGCTAGAATATATAACATATATTTGTGAAATTAATAGTTTGAATTTGATATGAATTTTACTCTAAAGCAAAAATAAAATTTGTGTGTAAAACTTTTCATTTTTCATAAAATGAGCTTTTTAAATCCATGGCTATAAATATTTGAGACTAAAAAGGAATCTGATTAGATATAATGGAAAGAAATGTCATTCTTTATAAAGAATGTCACTTTATAAAGTGCCTTGTAGTTTGATTATTGTGTATGTGTAACCAGTACTACCATTAGCAAAACAATTTGTTCCACATGAGGGATTTGGATCTCCTATGAAACAACTAAGCTGTTGGATTTGATTACAACACAATTTAGGAAAAGCATGCTGTTTCACCTATGGAATGATCCCTAGGTAGCACAAATGGTTTACACTTTACTACTAACCCAAAGGTTGGTGCTTTGAACCCTAATGGCAGCAACATAGGAGCTCCAATGGGACAGTGATCAAGTGATCTTGCTGCTAACCAAAACATCAGCAGCCTGACCCCACCAGCCACTCCATGGGAGAAAGGTAAGACAGTCTCCTTCTGGAAAGACTGACAGCCTTGGAGAAAGTGGGAAGAGAGTATTTACGTTGTGGGGATTTCAATTAATGCCATGAAATCAAATGTATGAACTATTGAATGGAAAATGAATTTGCTCTGTAAACTTTCACCTAAATCACAATAAATATATATATAGTTGTTGTTGTTACGTGCCATCAAGTTGGACCTGACTCATAGTGATCCCTCCTTGGGTTTTTGAGGTGGTATCATTACAGAAGTAGATTGCTCAACCTTCCTTCCGATATATATATATATATATATAACTTTATATATATATATACATACTATATAACTTTATATATATACA